AAAAAAAGGAATAGGCACAACCTAACTCTCCTTTAGGATGCTATTCAAATGGAAGAACATGTTCTTTTAGCATCAAGGAATCATTTATAGGGGCCAGGGTGACAATGACTCAGTGGCTAAGAGCTCTTTTTGATCTTACAGAGAATCAAGGTTCAATCCAGCTTCATGTCGTGTTCACAGTCATCCTTAACTCCAGATCCCAGGGAATCTGACAGTCTCTTCTGACCTCCTTGGGTACCAGGCACATACACATATACACACACCTACTAAACCTTCAGAAAAGTTTTAAAAAGAAACCACTCATAAATATTTTCAAACACCGACAGGAATTCCTTGGACATGACAAAACTACTTCCTTGCTCACGTCAGATCCCTGGGAAGCTCTGAGCTCCCCTCCACTTCTGACGGTCTTCCTAAGGTAAGCATTAAGTTGCCAGAAGGCTGAGGTGTGGGGTGGCATGCTCTGTGTGTGAGCATCAAGGCTGACAAGTGCAAGTGGGTGTAGTGGTACATGTCTATATCCCCAAGCCCGAGAGGTGGGAGCAGGAGGACCTCATGTTCTAGGTCTGGCTGGGCTATGCGACCCTGTATCCAAAATCCAAAACAAGATGGAACAGAACATTGTTTCCACAACTTTCTGTTTTTAAAATGTTATTTTTTTTAAGCTGAGAAAATACATTTTATGTTAAAATGACCCTTAAACTAAATGACAATTCTGTTTGAAAGGCCAAGAGGAAATGGACTCCAGCAGCAGAATGTAGGGAGGATTCGTATTTTTAAAAAAGACAAAGAAAAAGAAAACTCAAACTCAGAGAGGCAGTTAACCCCAATCTACTCTTCTTTCAGCAAAAGGCTGGATAGAATTTGCCCACCTTCAATCTAATCATCAGGTCACTAAAAATGCATATGGATACAGTTAAACCACATACAGACATTTGCTTTTAATTTCAAGGCAAGTGAGCCTTAGACTTCCTTAAATCCCTCCTGCAGGGTCAGAAGTTGAGGTAAGAGGCAAACACACTGACTGCTCACGTGTTGCAGAAAGAGCTGAAGGAAGGATGGGGATTGAACTTGGGAGCACTAGTACAGACAGACAAAGCAAGCCCATCCTCAGGGTTCTTCCAGTCAAAAGTGTATCATGCCCCCTTTACTGTCAAAGTCACCAAGGGCTTAAAGTGAGACAGAGAAGCCAGGGATGGTGTGTGTATAGTGTGAGTTGGGAGGGAGGGAGAGGAAGAGAGAGAGTTAGAGGTGGCATAACAAACTAACAGCAGGCAGTCTCCCTGATTTGTTTCCAAGGAGTCTGCTAAAGTTCTATAAAATCTGATGTGTATTATACAGTATCAAGATATATCTGGATGCATTTTGTAGTTTATTCTGAGATCCTAAAACAAAATGGTAGTCAAAAAAAGATTTTTTCAAAAGGTCTTCCCTGGAGGCAAGCAGCAAAGAAGGAGGGACAGTACCAGGGCACAGCAGGTCAGGTCACTCAGCCTGGGAGCTAGGGCCTCTTTCCAGGGTCATTGCTACAAGTATTGTCAGGAGTCATGACTGGTTCACCAGAATCCCTCCCATCAAGGACGACAGATCACAAACAGAATGGATGGCCCCTGTTGGTCCAGAGTGAGGTGATGGCAGGAATCAGGCCCAGTATGAATATTATCTAAAGTAAGAACCTTCCCAGCACCCCAAAGCTAGGGGTCTGAGAACCTGGCCTAGATACTGGGAACTGAGCTGAAGAGGCCATGGTAGTCTGTTGGTGTTCTAAAAGTCTTGTTAAAAAGAAAACCTTTGCTGACTACAGGAGCCCACTGTCAAGTGCAGATCAGCTGTTGAGGCTTGGTAATTGTAAGAGACAACGGTCCAGAAGAAGACGATGAACTCTGTTAGAAGCTGACTGACTTGAAGAAGTGTGTGGGGGCAGCTGACCACCGCGAAGAAAAGTAAAGAAAGAGCTTGTGATGTCCTGCAGGGTCGGTGTGTCCCTGTGTGTGTGTGTCCCTATGTGTGTGCGCGTGCGCATCTCCCTGATCAAGGATTTGTGATCTGAAACTCCCTTGGGAGCCTAACAGGAGAGAAAAGCAAGGTCTGAATGATTAGAAGGGAGATTGACAAATCAGTTCTGCCAAAAAAATTTAAAAGTCACATGACAAGAAAGGCAAAGCCTGGGGAAGAGTGCTCCTATCTGAGGAGCAAAGCAACTCCAGGATGACAAGGTTTCAGGCCAGGAGCCAGCCCCAGCTAAAGGAATCAAGGTGAAGAAGTGCAGTACGATCCTGAGAAACAAGCGCCCCAGCCTACCCCTCCAGACAGAGGTGGCTGCAATCAGTCAAGTGCCACCGTGATATTGCTATCCTGTTGTCTACAATAAAACCAAACCAAAAAGGGCACCATCCTCACAAGCAGAAGCAGAGCTCAGGCCGGCTTCCCAGGGTCTCTGCTTATTGACTGACCTGCTCAGCAGCATCAGCCTGTCTACGGCCTCGCCATATGATTTACTTCCTAGTTCCAGCATACTCCTCTTACCAAGTGATGCTTTCAGGATGACATTCTTCTTCAAGTATCTGCATGTACTTTGACCATATCCACTCCACACTGCTTTTTCCTGTCTTGTCCTCCTCCAAGCCCCCACCCTAGCACTGTTGACCCCTGGGGGATTTTTTGGATTGGTGACAGTGTCATGTGTCCTGGACAGACCTAGGTTTGCAGACTTCCCTGGTTATCAACTACAGCACAGTCATCTGTGATCCTAACGTGATCTAACAGTAGCAGAAATCACCAGGAGTGGGGTCCTGTTGACAGGGGTGGGTATGGCTCAAAACGGGCATTGGCTGAATGATATTCTAGAATCTGTTGCTGGGGCCTGTGTCTTGTTCACATAGTTGGATTTCTGATCCACAGAAGCCATCCTCGTGTGTGACCCAGCTTGGCTAGCTGGAAACCATGAGAGCTCGTGGACTACATCCAGGGTGGGCCTGGTACTCAGTGCTGAAAATTCTCCGTCCTGTGAGGCTGAAGCAGGCTATGTAAGCTGCTGCTGAGAAGAGGGCTCAGGTAGCACTGTGGGGAGGAGTGCAGGCTTGAGCATCTGGCATGTGATGCCAGGCAATGGCTTCTCGGCAGGCACACACATTTCCCTGGGGTTTTGTTTTTTTTGTTTTTGTTTTTGACAGTACTATGGATTGAACCCAGGGCCTTAAGCATGCAAAACAAGCACTCTATCACCCAGCTACAGCCATAGCCCCAGTCACACACTTCTTTCTGTGGCTTTTCTGACTCTTACTTTCTTTAAGGACTATGGTGGCTTGAATGAGATATTCTCTATAATTTCAGGAAATTGAATACTTGTTCCCTGGTTGGTGGTTCTATCTGAATAGGCAAGGGTGTGGCCTTGCTGGAGGAAGTGTGTCTCAGGGAGCAGGCCTTGAAGTTTCAAAAGCCATAGGCCATGCCCAGTTTGCTCTCTGCTTCTGCTTCAAGTTGGGAGCCATCTGCTACTATTCTAGCCGCCGTGCCTTCATGCTGCCATGCCTTCTGCCAGGATGACAATGGACTCTCATCCCCCTCATAGGCCCGAATAACCCTTCCTCCTAAAAGCCATGGTGTTTCATTGCAGAAATAGAAAATTAACTAATACATGGACACTTTCATCCATTTGTGACCTATTTTTTAATCTATTACTAAAATAAAATCACTTTTGAAAATGAGTTAGTATGCAGAGGACTGTCTACATATCTTATTTACTTATTTAATGTAAAGGTTTTGTGTTCTTTCCTTGCTTGTTTTTTCAGTCAGAGCTCATAGAGCCCATGATGGCCTCAAACTTAATTTGTAGTTGGGAATAACCCTGAACTTCTCATCCTCTTGCCTTCACCTCCCAAACAGGTCCACAGGTCTGTGCCACCACACCCAGTTTCTACATATCTTAAGCATGGAAACTATTTTGTGATTCCAATTGTCTTTAATGAGATCATGAGTGAGTATAAACAGAAAGAGGCTTGAGCTATTGCCTTAAAATAGGACTGTCATCATTTTTATATCACAAAGTGGGTTCCTAAGATGGCACATAGTTGCCAATGCCCTACAGTGGCTCCCTGAGCTTAGCCGGGGGAGATGGCCATGAGGAAACAGAAACTTAAGCCCCAGCATTTTTCAGAAACTCTGTGATTCAAGGACCTTGTTCATCAGATTTCCTCTCCTCCCTAAATGGCCTGCTGCCGACAAACTGGCCTGACTGCACCAGGCACAGATCCCTCCTGGCAGGCTTGGCCCAGGGACCCTGCTCTAGAGAGGGCAGGGTCTGCTCTAAGCCTTCAGGACCCCATAAAGCCCACCTGCTCTCCTAGCTGGGCTGCTACTCTCTACTCCCACGAAACACTCACGGTTTGTCTCCTAATAATATTTTTCCTACCCATAGAGTGGTCCTCTTCAGTGGTTTTGTGGCCCTCACCTACAGAGGATTCTACCAAAGTGCCAGGACCTTAAGATGGGAAACTAGGAGCTAGAGAACATTGCAGGTTGAGGGATGGACAGATAAGTGGTACTCCTGGCCTGACTCCAGCTCTATTCTTCCACCAGAGTGGCTGCAATTCTGTTTGTATGATTATCTCTATGACTTCTGAAGTAAAATGAGCATAGCGGGAACCTTCTACAGGGACGAATCAAAGTAACTGACAGCAGAGAAATGCACATAGCTCAGTGTGGAACATATGGCGGGAATTAAAAACAAAACAAAACAATCATGTCAAGTTTGGATTCCCCATCATTTTGTTAGGAGTTTTGGAAATCATTTATTTGGCCCACGTCCCTTGTTAAAAATAACTTAACCTGAGCACAGTGGCATGTGTCTGTGGCCCCAGCTCCTTTGGAGCGGAGAGGAAAGGGTCACTAGAGACCAGAGCCAAGGATGATGATGTTCACACTTTACAGAGAAACAGTGAATGAAGTCAGGCTACCCCAGCCTCTGGTACCCAGATCCAGCTCCTTCAGGAAGGTCTTACCAGGGTTCCGTCTGTCAGGGTGCAACCGGAGAAGCGTTTTGCAAGAAACCCCTCAAAGTTAGTTGTCCTCTGAATTGCAAAAAGAAGCAATTTCACTTCAATTTCCTTGGCTCTGGCTCGCATGATTTTGGAAAGTTCTGTCCTTCAAAGTAAAGAGAGAAGACTGCCGTCAAACAGACATCTTTTATTCATTTATGACAAAGGGGCTGGAGAGATGGTTAGTCAGCTTAGAGCACTTGCTGTTCTTGCACAAGACCAGGTTCAGTTGCCAGCACCACATGGTAGCTCACAACCATCTGTAACTCCAGTTCCAAAGGAATTGATGCCCTCTTATGGCCTCCATGACACCAGACATGCACATGGGCACATATTACATGCAGGATATACATAAATCAAAAAGAAATACATATTTTAAAAAAATACATGCTCCCAGCACTTAGGAGGTAGAGGAAGGCAGATCTCTGTGAGTTCGAGGCCAGTCTGGTCTATACAGCAAGTTCCAGGGACAGCCAGGGCTACACATAGAAACCAAAAAAATAAAATATAATAAAATTTAAAATAAAATACAAAATACAAGCATGTGTATATGTGTGTGAAAGGAAATACCTTTCATTTAGGAAAAAATGTACAGGATCATTTCAAATGTTGAGGTCTATTACCAACTCAGTCAAAGCCTTGGAACTAGAAATGTACCAGTTTTCCTCCTGCAGGGGACACAGTCTAAGAACATTCCTCAGACACTTGAAACCTAGGTAGTACACAGCCCTACACATGCTATGCTTTTTCCACACATGTCTCTATGGAGGGGTTTAATTTACAAATGAGGCACAATAAGAGCATAATTTATAATAAAACAACAATTATAACAATAAACTGTAAAAAAAGTTACTTTAAAACTCATGAATTGTTTCTTTCTAGCATCAACCATGGAGAGACACAGGGAGACTATACACACCATAAATAAAAATTTTGGTGAAGTTATTTCCCAGTAAAAGTGCATCAAGATTTACAATACAAATCTGATAATGTGGTTATTACTATATTTACATCTCTATGTGTTTGTTCTCAGACACTCCCCCCCCAAAAAAAAAGACAAAAAAAAAGTTTCTGGCTGGCCTGGAACTTGTTATGTAGCCCAGGGTCTCAAACCCAGTGATCTGCCTGCCTCCGCCTCCCAAATGCTGAGATTGAAGGTGGGCACCAATATCTGATCCATTCAAATTTTCAATCACATGAAACCGTACATCAGGCCTATGAGCAGGAGACAGCTGAGAGTTACCTCGTCACATGGCAGAATTCCACTGAGATCCTCTCCGTCATGTGCCACTCCCGTGGAAACATCCGACCATACTTCTCCTCATAGTCCACAAGCTGGCGCTTCACCCAGGCATAACGTCTGTCAATTTTGTCCAGCCAGGCGACCTCATGAAGGGAGGAACAAAACCACTCAGTACTCAGAATAACAAGCAAAAACTAGGACCCAAGAAAGGCAGCCGACCTCCATCTTCCTTCCACTTAAGAGAATCTATACCATGCTATTTACTTGAACTGGATTTAGTTCTCCACCTAGGGTCCATGGCTGGCACCAGGGCTCTGAGTGCTTTTTCTGTATGGAAAGTGTTACACTCTTCTGGGGGAGAACAAGCTTTCATTGATTTCTCCGAATGGTCAGTGACTTTAAATGGTGAAGATCCTCTAGCCTGTAAAGTTAGCCTGGGGATCTGTGGCTCAGGGCACAAGGCTATCCAATAGTTAATTGTACTAGTAAAGCATAGGTCAGGAGGCTTGGCAGCATTAGTTTCTTTTTCAGTAAAATTAAATCGTTTCATATGGCCAATACTTACATCTTGGTTTTCTTGAAAAAGTACTAGATACTCTGATAGATGCTGTTTAATAAACTTTTTGATGATTTCTTGTTTGATTCTGGGGTCCAAGATATTAGCCACCAGGCATGCGTCTCTCAGGACATTGCTGGGTCCTCCTGGCCTCTGGTAAAACAAAGAGCATACACCAGTTAAATGGCAGAAGTACCTGCACCTCTCTCTCCTGGCCTGTAACAGCTGCTTCTTCCTTGTCTCTCACTGTTATTACTCCTCTTCTTGGACATCCAGTCTTGCTTCAGTAGATTGCTATCTTAGTCAACGGTTCTTCGAGAAAAGAACAGTAGCCAACCTAAAAGCCAGCCTGTGACTCAACAGTGAGACATTCAAGAAAACAGAGCCAGCAAAGATCATAGGAAATTTTACTTTCCGTGTACCAAAACCGAAATGACCTACAAAGCCAGAATGACAACAGAGATTATATTGAAGGGTCCCCAAAGTCATTGTGGCTCTCATGTACCATTTTTCCTGCTTCCAACCTTCCTAGGCTCCCTGTTGTTTTGTCTGCTTATTGCCAGCTGGCCTGCCTGCTTGCCAGCTTTGAGACAAGGCCTTGCTATGTAGCCCAGGCCGGCCTCAAACTCAGGGTCCTTCTCCTTCAGCTTGCCAAGGGCTGGGATCACAGGCATGCCCTACTATGCCCAGCTGTCATTCCTGTTCTTAAAGAGCTATAATTGCGACAAAGAGGGTGGTGGTTTTAAAAACTCACACTACATTCCAATCCACCAGACTCGTTTCACTGATGGCCAATCACCCAGACAGACTGCCAAAGGTGAAATACTGAGACACTGGTTCCCTGACCTGAAGGGTGGAGGTGGGGAAGGGCTGTAAGGATACAGCAGCTAAGAAGGGCCTTGTTTACTACCAGAGCAACTGCATCTCACTGACCTGCTGCTAATGCATCATTGAATATATGTGCTGACCAGGATCCCTATAGTACAAAGAACCCTTGGAAGCTCTTGGTTTACTACATAGCCTGGTGACTTGGCAGAAGTTACTCAGCCTCACCTGAAAAGCAATGGGCTTAAATCAGGATGAGCAGAAGTTCTTCCAAAGCCTTCCTGATTGTTTGTTTTTATCAAGTCTGTCCATCTCAATTGATGTTCAAATATCAGACAAGGTGCCTAGACCCAAACTGTTACAATGTGACCTGCTCTGCTCTGAACCTCTATTCTGCTGCCCTCTGAATACACAGAATGTTTAACTCTGGCTTCAGGATGAAAATGCTTGAGCTCACTGACAAGTCATGGACACCAAAACATAGAGGTTCAGAGGTTCAAATTTTCTCATTTACAAAAAAAAAAAAAGTTACTAAATTATCTTGGTGTCTTAGTTACTTTTCTGTTGTTGTGAAGAGACGCCATAAACAAGGCAACTCAGAGAAGAGAGAGCTGATTGGTGTTCATGGCTCCAGCATGGCAGCAGGTAGGAAGGCAGGGCACTGGAGCAGTGCTTGAGACTTTACATCCTCATTCAAAAGCAGGAGGTGAAGAGGGAGCCAGGAATGGCACAAACTTTTGAAACCACAAAACCCTCACCCAGTGGGCACATCTCCTCCAACAAGGTCACACCTCCTAATCCTTTACAACACTTCCACCAACCAGGGACCAGTATTCAAACACATGAGCCTATGGGGACCACTCTCCTTCAAACCACCACATTTGGATATTTCATTTTAAATTGTTAATTTTTTTTCTTAAGAAAGAATATTTCCTGTGTGGCCCAGACTGGCATAGAACTTGCTATATAGTCTGAGCTAACTCATGATCCTCCTGCCTCAATCTCTAGGATGCTGGCTGGCATGACAGGCACAACCACTAATCAATACTTTCAAAAAAAAGTTTTGGTTCAAATTTTCAAACCAGGATTAGTAACACAAGGCCTTTTAGAAAAATCAATAGCCTTTAAAAACGGAAAAAGAAAACTTAACAATATCCCATTAAGTAACAGTCAGAAAAGGAAGTTGGGTCGTTAAACCCTTTTAACTTCATATGCCCCCTGGGACCTGGGAGAAAGGTAGAAAGCAGGCCATAGTCGATGGGCAAACAGTAAAGACCCTTCACCCACATCCTTCTGAAACACGGTGCAATGGGATGGGGCAGCGAGCACACGAAAGCAGTTGCCTGGGAAGACTACTATTTACAACTAGCACTAGTCTAAAATAGCAGCCACCAGCCAGGCAATCAATCCCTTTTTGCTTCTGAGAACTTCGTTTTCCTCAGAGGGCCATGAGGAATAATGGCTTTCCAATCTATGCCTTTCCTGAGTTACATCAGGTGACTAAAAGATGCAGTTCTCAAAGCAAAGTGCTTCACAAATGAATATCAGATTGCTGGCAGTCAGCTGGAAAACACAAAGGCATTAAGGTTAGGAGCTGGTCGCCTACAGAAAGCAATCTATCAGAGCCAGAGCTGCCATCCCCACCTACTTCCTAATACAGAGCACAAAGGAAAAGCGATTAAGATATTTCCAGTTATTGAATTCTAGAGCAAATGCAGGAAATGCTCCTTGGCTCACTAGTGAATGTATATCCATCCCCATCTCCACCCACAGAGCCCGGTGAGGAATGCTGCTGGCCATGTGCTCGGCTTCGCTTCTGCCTTCAGCAATGCTTTCTCTTTAAACAGCTCAAATAATAGAGAAAACAAGCTTCTGCGGGCTCTGCCCTCCCCGACACATGCAAGGCATTAAGATGACATCTGCGGCAATGTGAAGGATGGAGCTAACAGCAGTTTCCCAGCACAATGGCAGCCAAGAGAGGGAAGCCTGTGTGAGATATCCACCCAACAGCTCCCAAGCGAAAGCGAAGGCCTCGCAGACACAACAGAGACAGCTCCACCACCAGCGAGCTCGAAGATCCCAGAGAAGAGGATTCCCATCGTTAAAAGTGATCTCTGGATTGTGTCATGAGAGTTACATAAGCTCCTAGACACGCCTCCCAGTTGTCTACTCACCAAACCAAAGCCAGTGTTATGTAACAATTCTAAAAAACACTGTGGTTTGAAGGCTTTTTTTTTTTTTTTAAGCACAGCTATGAGGGAAAAATGTGAGCTTATAGAGCAGATAAAATGCAAGATTTGACAAACATTAAATTAAACCAAAAGAATCCTCATTTTCTTTTCCCCAGAGGGAGGATCTCATGTAGCCCAGGCTGGCCTCAAGCTCAGTATGTAGGCAAGGATGAACTTGTGATTCTCTTGCCTCCATCTTTCTAGGGCTTAGATTACAGACATGCATCACCATACCCAATTTATGTGGGCTAGTGATCAAATTCAGGTTTCATGCGAGCTTAGGTAGGTACTCTACCCCCCAAATTACACTCCTGGGCCAAGTCCTCTTTCTGAGGCTGGAAGGACACAGATCAACGGTCAGCATTGCATCGTGATACTTAAAACAGAGTCGGCAGACAGCTGGCCTGTGCCAGCCAGCACCTCTGGGATCAAACCACGTGCATCACCACTCACACATCTCACACTACCGGATGGAGTATGAGCAGTGGAAAACCTAAAGATTGGAGGGAAAACGCAGACCAGTACCTTGGTACCCTGTGAAGGAAACGCCTCTTCAAAATCAGCCAGGATCTGCTGTCCTAGCTCAGTCTGCGCAGCCTTCACCCTGGGGGAAAAAGGGACTGTATTAACGACTGGCAACATTTTCAAATTCCTGTACACAATGGATCCACGGGGTCAGGAACTGTTAAAGTCTCTAGGACTCCGTAGGTGATCACCTGGGAAGGAAGGAAAAGAGATGTACAGCTAGGTAAGAGAGGTCACGCAGAAGCAAGAGAGGTTACACAGAAGCAGGGATACAGGCATCTCAGAATGGATTTTTTTTTTTTTTTGCAGTGCTAAGGATTGAACCTATGACCTTGAACATGAGAGGTAAGTGCTCTGCCACTGAGCTATGCTCTCAGCCCTTCAGGATACAGTTCTAGGTCACCTTTACCTACTGTGAGGTATATATGCTGAGCCTCACAAAATTTCATTTGGGGGTGGTTATACTGCAGGGAAATATTATATACCAGCACCCCAAGCAAACACAAATCTGTCAGATTACTAAAACAACTGTTTCCCATCCTACAGGCACAGAGTGGGAAGAGTGGTTCAGACTGTTTCAGAGTGACTTTATATTTGCTTCTTATATTTTAATTCAGAAACCTAATATTTAAAGCAAATAACAAAAAGAAATCTCTAAGGTGAAAGAAAAAGAGCCAGTTGATCAATAAACTATTGTTTAAGAGCAAAGGGCACCATCTGTAATCCCAGCACTGAAAAAGCCGAGGCAGGAGGGTCGCAAGTTGAAAGCCTGACCAAGGAGATGTACTTCAAGACCATGTCTCTCTCACACAGCAAAACAAGACAAGACAGGCCAAACAAGTGATGTGCATTGGATGGAGATGGAGCTTCAGGAGAATGCGAGGGAAAACGTGTAGAGGGCTGGGGTGGGCTGCTCTTGATGGATCTGCAGGACCAATGCTGGTGCTCAAGAAACAGCCAGCCAGACTGAAAGGAGAAAAGGAGAAGCAGCTAGGCTGAAACAGGAAGTGTACATCAGCAAGCACTGCCATCGTGTCCTCCTTATACCGGCCAGCTGCCTCTGCTGGTGATACCCGGCTTGTCCAGGCACAGAGCTAGAGAGCTAGGCTCCTGGGCAGCTCTGGACCTCCCTGAGCCTGACGTAAAGGTGTGCTTTGCCAAAAGCACCATGAAACAGCATGCCTCCTTGCTTGGACTCCACCCTGCAACTTCTGGATTGATTTTATAAAGTTTCTAGAAATAGTGAACAACCTAAAACCACAAGTTCTTTGGCTATTGAGGAGAACCTGGCAAGTGGCTGAGATCTTATGTTTTAACGAGAGCATAGGCATGACCCAGAACACTCAGTTTCTTCCTGTGCCATAGTTATAATCAGGCCTGATCCCAAATACTTTCCAGGGTTTTCCACTGTCTTCAAATGTTCCAAACCATTACTACAGATGAGTTTGTATTCTTTTAAGTTTGTGTTCAAGATAAGGCAATGCTGGAATCCACCCCACCCCCACCTAGAGTTGCCCAGGAGACATCTGGAAACCTCCTGAGTGTGAAGTCTTATGCGAGAGAAAAGAATGCGCTTTCATAAAACTGCTCCTCGGAGCATCTTGCCACTCCCCAGAGTGAGCCAGCAGGCTGTCTCCTGTGGGCCTGGTCACAAGGCAGAGATCCGGATGCTCATGCCCCTCTGTTCTGACCCTCTTCTTGGAATTGCAAAGACAGTACCAGTTCTTTCTTGAGGCACAGGACAAATCCTGTAGGTGGGGCCCACTGCTGACCAGATGTATGCATGGTCAGGGCCACTGACCCTCCATGAGGCTGCTGGGCTCAGCTCTGTCTCTGCTACCTCCACTCTACTCTACTACAATCCTAACCTCTATGTTCTTACAGTGGCTGGAAAGACAACCAAAGTACATATGGTCTTAGCACTGGAGTACAAAGGAAAGGTAATTCCAGGTTCCCATCTGTAATGATTTCTAATGTTTAAAGTTACCTTTGAGACTAGATAGACTTAGCTGTGCCACTAAAAAATTGCATGTAGTAAGTTACTTCCTCTAAGTGGGCCACAACTAAGAACCATTGTGAAAGGGGCTGCTTTCACAATGTTAAGAAACTGCTGCTCTTCCAGAGGACTAAAGTTGTTTCCTAGGACCCATACCAGGTGACTCACAACTGTCTGTAACTACGATTCCAGGGGAGTTGACAGTCTTTTCTGGCCTCTGAGGGCAAATATACATAAAGAGGGAGGGAGGGAGAGAGGGAGGGAGGGAGGGAGGGAGGGAGGGAGGGAGGGAGGGGGGGGGGGGGGGGGGGGGGGGGGGGGGGGGGGGGGGGGGGGGGGGGGGGGGAGAAGGGGGTGAGGATAGAGGCCTGTGCTAGAGGACTTCAGTGTATTTTCTGTACTGATAATTTCACAACAACCAGCTTACTGTTTTAGCTGGCAACAGTACTCACTTTTACAAGTGGTACCAAGAGGGATTTATCATTAACATTAGGGCAGAAAAATAAGCTTCCGCCTAAACTGTTTGCAGCCATGGTTGTCTCCCAGTGACTGAGATGATGGAGCAGCTATCCCCTGGAGACATTACTGACAAAGAGAGATCACATGCACAGATATTTTCCGGTGAGCCACAGCTTCTATAATGGTTACAGCTTATGAATGAGTCCCAAAAGGCTCCTGTGTTGAGGGCTTGGTCTTCAGGTGGTGTTACTGAGAGGTGACTGGATCATGAAGATGAACTTCACCACCGAACTAAACCACTGACAGATTCGTGGTTGATGGGGTTATTGAGAAATGATGGAGCAGGGAAATGGAGCATGGTTTGAAGAAGTCTGTCTCTGGCTGGGGTGGGCATGTCAGGTTGAGCCAGTAAAATGGGCGTGTATTTTGTTCTCAGATCCTTGGTGAGCCACCCTGCTCTACCGTGTGCTCCCTACATGATGCTCTGCCTTATCTATGTTGCCCAGAAGCATCACAGTCAGTGACCATGGACTGAAACCATGAAACAAAATAAGCCTTACTTCTTCTCTTTTCTTTTTTTGAGATAGGGTCTCCAAGTAGCCTTTGCTGGTCTGTAACTTGCTATGTATATCAGGTTGACCTCAAATTCAAAGAGATCTACCTGCCTCTGGCTCAGAGTGCTGGGACTAAAGACATGCATCACATCACTAGTCCAGCAACCATTACCTCTTTTAAGCTGCTTTTCTTTGTTACTTCCTCACAGTAATAGAAACTAACGCAACAATCAATTGTCTATACAGGATCCTAGAAATAAGCCGACAGACTCATCATCAGCCCACCAACTAATGTGCAGCAGGAAGGATTAAAAGGTCCTTCCAGCAGCTGAGTGTGGTGGCGCCCGCCTTTACTCCTGGCACTCAGGAGGCAGAGGCAGGCAGATCTCTATGAGTTTAAGGCCAGCCTGGTCTACACAGTGGGTTCCAGGACAGGCTCCAAAGCTACAGAAAAACTCTGTCTTGAAAAACAAAACAAAACAAAAAACCCAACAACAACAAAAAAGGAAGCAGTGGTGACAGAAGGACAACAAAGTAGGAAAAGTAGAGTTTTACAGAAAAGAATAGCAGGAAATAGCAGGGTATATCCATTATCTTCTGACAGTCCAGGAAATCCCCTCCATGGCCCTGAAATAAGTGGACTGACTCCCACCTGATGCCTTCACAGAATGGAAGGGATTTGTCAAACACTATAACATAATAGTGCTACCAAGACTCTCAGCCTAGAATGACAGAGACCTGGCCGGAGGCGCTGAGATCCTGTAATGTGGCCCTCGTAGCTTAATCTGAGGAGGCCCAGACAGAACTGTCAAACACTAGTCAGACCTCTCCATTCTTTTTCCCACCACATCATGTGACTTCCCAACCTGCCAGGCTTCTCTCTCAAGTAAGAGAGGTTAGACATAGCTCTGGGGGTGGGTGGGTGGGGGGAACTTAAGGGTTCCAAAGTTTTGTTTTGTTTTTATAAAGAAATGCAAGAATCTCCCATTCTTTCTTAGGAAATACTGACTGACTAGAAGCATTTGCTCTTATGGATATGCTTAAGCCAAGAGGATTTGAAATGTAAAGATATTAAAGAAAAAAATCTTTCCTTTAATACTACATAAATATCTAGGCATTTGCCAGAAGGGTAGTTGAAAGAAATAGCAAATCAAGACCCATAAACTTCATACTTCAAATGTACAGGCAAAGACTGGAGAATGCAACCCTGCATATGACTTCTGCAATTTATAGACAGAAGGCATTACACTGAGCAATGCACAGGGTCACTCAGCTTTCCTGCCTCCCTCTGAACAGCTATTTCGATTATTTCCAGATGGTTCCACCATCACTATATAAACATAAGGGAGGACAATTCACCAGAATGATGCTAAAAATAGGAAGTCTGGAGTTGGCTCCAAATGTTAGCACCTCTTTGAAAGCTGACGGCAGCGGAGCACTGCAAGCAAGCAGCTCTCACGCCGCATTCCTCTCGGAGCTGCAGACTAGGACGTGCTGCGCTGACAGACTATCACAAACACAGGTTTAAACTAAGAACAAGCTCAATGTTTGCAGGATGGATTAAAGGGCTCCTTCCCTTCAGCCCTTGCTTTAAGACATGGTTCTCAACCTGTGGGTCAAGACCCCTTCAGGGGTTGTCAAATAATCCTTTCACTGGGGTTGTTTAAGACCATTGGAAATTTACATTACAATTTATAACACTAGCAAAATTACAGTTATAAAGCTGCAATGAAAATAATTTTATGGTTGGGTCATCACAATAAGAAGAGCTGTATTAAGGGAATGTAGCATTAGGAAGGTTGAGAACCACTGTTTTAAGAAAATGTCACTCAACAGTCCTAAGTTTCTTCGAATTTATAAAACTATACCTTTGAGAAATTAAAGATTTATTTAGTCTATTATTATTGTTTGTACATGTTTTCCTTTTTTTCTTCTTTTTCTTTATTTTTGCATGTTTATCTGTGCACCAAATGCATACTTGGTGTGAGTTGCCATGTGGGTACTTGAAATTGAACCTAGGTCATCTGCAAGAGCAATAAATGCTCCTAATCACTGAGCCAACTTTCTAGCCTGAAAAAAAAAAAAAAACCAACATTTTTTTTTTCTTTTGGAAAAGTAAATAGTATACCAAGAACACAGGCAAAAAGGAAAAAGAACAAAGCAATGGAATTGTCTCAAAGTAAAGAGAGCTTGTGTGTAGCAAAGGGAAGAATCCACAAAATGAAAAGGCAGCCAAAGAATCAGGAGAAAATATTGGGAACTGTATAGCTCACTAAGGTTAGTATCCAAAATATATAAAGAGCTTGGGTATGACCAAATAAAGACAACAAATGGGGTCAGATATACTTGGCGGATGGAGTGCCTGACTAGCCAGCCGCTCCTGGGTTCAGGCTCCAGCACCTCATGACCAGGTGTGGGAGCACAGGTCTGAGTTGCAGCTCTCAGAAGGTGCTGGGGGGTGGGGGAGGATCAGAAAATCAAGATCATATTCAGTTACATAGAGAGTCTGAGGCTATCCTGGAATTTCTGAGACCCTGTCTTAAAAAAAAAAAAAGGAAGGAAGAAGGGAGGAAGGAAAGAGAGAGACAGAGACAGACAGACAGACAGACAGACAGACAGACGCAGGCAAAGACGCCAGTCAGTCATTTTAAGAAAAGGTTTCTGACACAAACCCAAGAATCTGAGTCCTACCCAAGGAACTCACACTATGGAAGAAGAGGATTGACTCCCAAAAGTTATCCTCTGGCCTCCATTGCATGCCATGACTCACAAACACCACCAACCTCAAAATAAAATAAATGTAATTCTTAAAACCAGACAAATGATCTAAATAGGCACTGTTTTCAAGGCAGACATAAAAAATCAATAGGGTATATGAAAAAAATGTCCAACATTACTTCATCTCCAGAGATGTGCAAGACAAAATCCCAAAAAAGAAGCCAATTGTGGTGCTGCATGCCTTTAATTCCAGCACTTGGGAAGCAGAGGCAAGCGGATGTCTGTGAGTTCGAGGTCAGCCCGGTTTACAAAGCAAGTTCCTGGCTGAACTACATAGAGACCCTGTTCAAAAAAACCAAAACCAGGATCTAAGCAGGAAAGAGAAAAGTACAAGATATCATGAGTAAACTGGGAACATGGGGGTCGTGGAAGAGGGTAAAAGGGGGAAGGGGAGGAAGAGAGAGGAGCAGAGAAAAATGTATATAGCACAATAAAGGCAACAAAAAAATTAGTAAATAGGAAAGAAACCAAAACCAAACAAATAAATAAGCAAATAAATAAAATTAAAACCAATGAGGGCCTGGAGAGATAGTTCAGTGGTTAAGAGCACTTGCTGCTCAGTCATGAGGACTGAGCTCAGATCCCAGCACCCATTCTGGGCAGCTCATCATTAATTCCAGTTCTAAGGGATCCAACAAGTACCCACACACGCATGTACACATACACTCACACAGACATACACACAAATAAATTTAGGAAAACCAGCCTGCTGAGATAAAGTCTCACTTATAGCAAATTCTGACCCTCCCATCTTTGCCTCCAAATCTGAGACTACAGGCCACCAGAATGACTAACCTTGAAAGGAAAAACGGTGAGTGTTGGTGAGGGTGTGGGATGGGAACACTTCAATATCACTGGCAGAGACCTTAAGTGTGAGGCTATTACAGAAAATGATATGAAGTTCTCAAAAACTCCCAAATGAATCTACCCAAAGGAGATGAAATCCGCCCTCTTTACAGATAGCTGCCCTGCCTGGTTCACAGCAATAAGTTTGTAACAGCTAAGACACAGAAACAAACGTGTCTTTTGATGGACAAATATGGGTTAAAGAACTGTGGTGTATACATGCAGTGGGATTTTATCCAGCTTTTAAAGAGCTTTTTAAAAGAAGATGCTGACATCTGCAACAACATGGATAAACCTGGAGGGCTTAAGAGTAAATGAAATAAACCAGACACAGAAAGATAAATATGGTGAGATCTCTCTTAGGTGCAGGCTCTTAAAATCTAAAGTCAAATACAGCTGCTCTCAGTGGCCACGGGCCTGCACTGCTATATCAATCTAACTATGGATCAGAAAGATTGGGGGGGGGGGGCGCTGGAAGGGCTGGGGCTATGGCTCAGTGGAAGAGCATGTGCTTAGCATCCGCAGGGCCTAGGCTACAGTAAGCACATAGTACATGTATGCTAGGTGGATGAAAGACAGAAAACAGGAACGGCAACAGATCACTCTGACACCCCAAGACTACAGCATGTTGTGCTCCCTTCCTGCTCCTCCCTACCCACTGAGAGCAGGCTTGCTTCCTCCATCCGTGGGTCCTTTCCTAAGCTCATCAAGTCTTGCTCATGGACATTCTTGGCTGTTCACATTCCCAGTCTGATATGGCAATCAGCCACCTCTAAGTGTAAAGAGGTTAGGAAGGATGAGGGAAAGGGTGGTGATTTCCCTAGCACTTTGCCAACCTATTCCGACATTCCTTAACAATCCCTGACATCTCCACTGTAAGACAGTATACCCAGCACATGCAGCAACCTCCCCTGCCTGCCTCTGCCTTCAGAGTGCTGGGATTAAAGGCATGTGCTACCACCATCCAGCCTGCCTGCCTCAAATTCTTAGAAATTATGAAAAGATTTAAACAGAAGTCAGAAGTCAGACAAGAAAGTGGGTGATAGACTAGGTAGTCTGTGGGTTTCCTGGTAGAAGAAGACTAAAGGAGAAAATAACAAAGCCTACTCAAAAATGAAAAGACAGAGACTGGAGAGATGCTCAGCAGTTAAGAGCACTTTGTTCTTCCTGCATTGAACCTGGGTTCAGTTCCCAACACCCACATGGTGGATTACAATTTCCTACACTTCCAAAGTCCTCTTCTGACCAACACAGGTACCAGGAACACACATAGTGCATACACATAGACAGAGGTAAAATACTCATACACATAAAATGAAAAAAAAAAATCTAAAACCTAAGAAAATATAAAGACAAGAAGGGAGCTCTGAAGGTAACCTCTACTTGGCTCAAATCACAGTAATGTGATTGCCAGGAGTAGTATCTGCATCCTTACCCTACATGCTCAGTCAGACACTGAACAAAACAAAGCAAAGAAAAAGATACTTCACAAGAGTCGATCATGAGTTATTGAGGAAATTAAAATTAAAGGGAGCAGGTAATGACTTTCATCTACCAGATTGAATAAAATGAAAACAAACAATACCTAATTTGGTGAGGAATGGAGAAACAGGTCCTCAAGCACTTCCAGATGGTTCTGTGTACCTATTAAGCTTTTTTTTTTTTGGAAAAAAAATGAGCTACGTTTCTTAACACTTCAAATCCATATAACCTGAGGACCTAGAATCTACTCTACTTGCACATGTGTGAAAGGAGGCATTTCTAGAGAATCAGAATAAGGAATCCAGGGATATGGAAACAGCTAACTAGCCTGGGACAAGCTTTCCTATGGCAGTCCACACACGTAACGAGGCAGTTCTACAAACACAGAGTAGTGGACAGGAGACAATCTAAAGGGAGACCCAATAAGCTGATAGCTGTTACTCCTCCCAGGAAGTGCCAGAGGATTCGAAATGAAGCTAAAGGAATTCCGACACACCTGTTTGTTCACTTTTTGTCTTTTTCTTCGTTAGTGTTTTGAAAGAGGTTCTCATCCTAAGGCCTAGGCTGGCCTCAAACTCAGGCCAGTTCTCTAGCTCAACCACCTGGGTCCTGGGGTTATAGATGTGAGCCACCCACATCTAGTTTAGACTTTTTAAATAAAAGAAAATGCATATTTATATTACTTGTATAGTTAGATAAAGAAACATAAGAGAAGAGAAATATGTAACAGGCAGGCCTGCCTAAGAGGATGGGATAATAACAGTGCTGCTAGGGGCTGCCTCCTCACAGCGCCTTTGCTTTCTGGTATTATCTCCAATAGAAAGGGCCAAAGAGACACTGAACTCACTGTCCTCTTCCTTCTTCAGGAGCCTCTTCTTCCTCCTAGGAATCTGTCTTCTCGTTGGTCCTGAATCTGAGATCAGAACTTAAGGGTGGAGGCCAGAGAGATGGCCATCAGTTAAGAGCACCTACTGCTCTTGCAGGACTCAGGCTCCATTCCCAGCACCAACGTGGTAGTTTATGAATATCTGTAATTCTAGTTCTGTGGGTTCTGTGCCTCTTTCTGACAACCATGGACACTAGGTACATGTGTATTCCACAGACATGGTATATATATACATACTTACATACATATATATGTATGTCTAACTCATAACACATAAAAAAACTCACGTACACACATAAAACACAAATAAATAACTAAAAGAAATTCTAGGGAAACCTCCAGGATGGTAAGAAGAAAGAATAAGTCCAGAAAGAAACTCATCACTGTGGTCTGAGAATCAAGCTTGGGTGACACCGCGCACTGTCTAAAAACTGCCCCGGCGTCCACCCCCCCCCCAACATGCTGCTTTCGCCACTGTGCCGTTGGCATTCCTCATATCAGAGAGAAAATGGAAGACATGGGGTTTTTCCCTCCTGAATCTCAAAGGCTTTGTGATGCCACCTGAGGCAAAGCCTTTTGGTGCATTCATCCTTACGCCCCAGCTGCCTCACTATGAGAATGCCTGAGTAGCCCATGAGAACAGGGATCCCGGTCCATAGCCTGGCTGAGGTGACAGTGAACACCAAGTGCCAGCCATAGCAGCCGATGGCTCCTTGGGTCCCGTCATCAGCTGCCTTAACTGATGGTGCATGGAGCAGACATGAATCATTACCCAAGCCTGGCCAAGTTTCATGAGCAAAATAACTGCTTTAGTCCAACAAGTTCTGTAGACGATGGAGAGCTGTGCATATTAACATACACACGAGTGGACTTTCTGACCCGGGCAGCCTCCAAAGGCGAGTTAAAGGGTATCGGAGAGTGAGCTCACGTAACATTTGAAGCTGCTTCCCAGAATAAGGGGGAAAACATGTGGAGCCATCTTTTCTTATGGAAAGAGCATTGTCTGTAAGGACATCTTACCTTTCAGAAAGCTGCCGGATCTGTGGGATTCCCATGTACTTGTGAAAGTGCTCCAGAACATTCATCACGCCCTGAAGGAGGTTGGCAACTTCTCCATACTGTCTGCGCCTGGTCATGGCTCTGCAAGGACAGAAGTTGAGAACTAGAAACCAAACACTGAAGACGCAAGATAGAGATGTGGGATGACCTTGACAGCTCTAAAACAGGCAGCAGCCAGATTTAATGAAATGTCCCAAGTGCTGGATATATATGGTGCTGAGCACTGGGGAAGGAAAAAGACAAGGACTTAACTCCAACTCTCCAGGTGACATCACTCAAGTAAGGGAGTGCCAAGTAAGCACTGAAGGAAGGTAAACTATGATAGCAGTGTAAGCTATATGCCATGGGGCACAAAGGAATGTGTTTGTTGGGTGCTCACTGAGTGGTAGGAGGGGACTCTGGGCAGACTATTGGTTTGAGCTGGCATTGTGTCAGGAGCAAGATTTTAAGGGAGTGTTGTATGTCACTGAGGATTGTGGTGCATGGTAGAACCAAGCCATTTTTCTAGAATACAAAAGGGGATGACTGTTTGTGATTCCAAGCTAACTACAATCTGCAGCTTTAAGCCAATGATAAACAATGGCACCAGAGAGGTCGGCTTGCTCTACTGCCAAGGGTAACATGAAGCTTAAGTAAAAGATGCTGATAAAACCAACAGTTATAGGCTGGCAAGAGGGTTGTGGTTAAGAGCACTGGGACCTTTCAGAGGACCCAGATTCAATTCCCAGCACCCACAGAACTCCCTAAGGAGACATGCCATCAGCCCGTTCTGGTTCCTGGTTTCTTTTTCATGGTACTTTTCTGTCAGTATTATTTTCGTGTCTTTTGTTTGTAATGTTACCTTGCTACTTCTCTTAGGAGCAGGTCAGTCAAACTCAACTTCTTCCCCTGATCTTATTTTGGAGCATTCCAGGGACTTTCAAACCCAAGCTGCTGACTTGGGGCTTATTGTCTGAAGGGGTGGAGGCATGTTTGATAAGGACATGGCAGGACTTTGGGTGCCTGACAGAGAACCTGCAGGATACTGACTGCCAGGCAGGCACTCTGTCTGCAAGCTGGTGTAACTACTGTGCTCCCCTCTCCCTTCCTTCCTGAGCCAAATTATTCACTATGGTCCAGGGTCCTTGCTGCCAGTTACTTAGCCTTAACCCTTTCCTGTTCTGGCACTGCCTTTCTTGTTTAAAGTATTAAAGGTATGCAATATTCTAGATTACTAAAGGAAATCACAAGAAGGACTTTGATAAAAGTTTTCATGTAATCTGAAAAAAAATGCAGGAAACTAAAATAGTAAAGAGAAGAGAAAGAAAAGAGAAGATTGTCTGAGTAAGAATGTCTGGCTAAACCAGAGGAGCTGAAGTAAGAACCTGAGGAGTATAGTAAGTTGTAGAAGGTCAGAGAAGGTATGAGATTTGATCATATTATGTTAATTCTGGTTGGTTTTCTTCATTAAAAAAAATAAACAATTTTTTTTTTGAGACAGGGTTTCTCTGTAGCTTTGGAGCCTATCTTGGAACTAGCTCTTGTAGACCAGCCTGGCCTTGAACTCACAGAGATCTGCCTGCCTCTGCCTCCCAAGTTCTGGGATTAAAGGCAAATGCCACCACTGCCTGGCCAGACAAACAATTTTTGTGATTGCTGTGGGACAATGATCTGTACTCTGACAATTGTATTTTAATAAAACACTGATTGGCCAGTAGCCAGGCAGGAAGTATAGGCGGGGCAACCGAGCAGGAAGTATAGGCAGGGCGACAGGAACAGAAGAATTCTGGGAAGAGGTTCAGTCTGCAGTTGTCATCCAGACACAGAGCAAGCAAGATGTGACTGCCTCGCCAAAAAAGGTACCACGTGGCTAACACAGACAAGAATAATGGGCTAATATAAGATGTAAGAAAAAGCTAATAGCCGGGCGATGGTGGCGCACGCCTTTAATCCCAGCACTTGGGAGGCAGAGGCAGGTGGATCTCTGTGAGTTCGAGACCAGCCTGGTCTACAGAGCTAGTTCCAGGACAGGCTCCAAAGCCACAGAGAAACCCTGTCTCGAAAAAAAAAAAAGCTAATAAGAAGCCTGAGCTAATAGGCCAATCAGTTTATGATTAATGTAGACCTTAAGTTTGGGACTTAATGACTGCGGGACCTGGTGGGACAGAAACCTTGGTCAACAGCTGATGAGTCACTACAAAATGTTTGTATTAGGAATGGGATCATACTTTTAAAAGAAGAGAGGGGGACAGAACACTGCTGACTGCATCCCTGTACCCTGTCTTTCTTTCTACAGGTGACTTGGAGGAGGAGTTATTTTCTATCCCACCACCTTACCCCCAGGCTCCTCAGGATGAGAGGTCCTGGAGGCCAGAGGGAGAGGAGTGGAGGAGACTCCACATATACACACACACTCTCAGAGGGAGGAGCTGCCAGCCAGGGCTGACTCCATGGTCCTTCCATTGTGCACTGTGGGCCAACCTGAGGCTAAGGGCAGGCAGCAGCTAGTCCACTGGTCCTTTGTGGGCTAACCTGAGGCTAAGGGCAGGCAGCAGCTAGTCCACTGGTCCTTTGCCACTAGCAACCTTTAAAATTAGAAATGACAAAATCCTAAGTTTTCTGAGAAGCCCACAAAGCTAGTTAACCTGATGGATTCTGTCCTTTTCATTCAGCAGACAACATGGGATAATTGTTTCCAGGGAGCCTCTGTCACCCATGGTAGATATAGCAGAGGCTAGGCATGGTATAGCCCCTCCTCCTTCCTTCTGGGGATATTCTGCCACACTTGCATTTCTGTGAAGATGGCTGGTCTGTCCACTATGACTAGGGCAGGGGAATCAGCCTGAACAGCCCCACCCCCACCAGAGGAGCTGGACTGCTAGAGGAGGAGGCTTTGAATCAGGGCTTTGTGGTAAATAACCAGCAACTTCTTTTAATACTGTTTCCAAATGTGCTAAACAGAAAGCTACAATCTTGGAAACATGGGTTTCAGGAAAAAGTGGGTTGAATGATACATCAAAGATTTGTTTACAAATGGTCTCTTTGGTTTGGTACAACTCAACCCAAGAGAAGGAGGAGCAGCTGCCAAGGCAGAAGTCCTAGGGAGTGACTGAGCTGAATCACCGTCTGACTTACTAGTCTAGATCTACCATACCAAATGACCCACTTCTCAGGGTCATTCTCATGGGCTTTCTGTGGCCTCCTCAGGTCACCTGCCCATCTTTTTTTTTCATTAAGGCAGATGTTTGCTGTCTTTTGCAGTGCTGGGAGTGGAACCCAGGACTTTGAGCGGAACCCAGGGCTTTGAACATGTCAAGTAGGCACTCTGCCACTCGGCTGTATCCATTCCCAGCTCTTTTCTTACTTAAGTTGTGAACATCAAAAGTGACTGAACACTTGTGACCAATGCTCCAAAAGTGAGGCAGTACAGTGAGGCTGGCTTGACTTGGAAGTGAATAACTCCACAAAGTCACTATCCTTCCGTGGAGCATTTCCCATGGGCCCCTGAGAAAGTTCACACTGCTCACTTACTCCAGGGAGTCGACCCCACCGGCGAGCATATGTAGGTGGTTCAGTGTCGTGATTGAGGTGGTCAGGTGGCGCTTGGCATGGTCTAACTGCTTAATATCTCGGGTGATTTCCTTCACCTAAACATTGAAAACAATAGGAAAAAAAAGGGGGAAGATAAGGAACCTGTAAACTTTCAAGCTACTGTTCAACAAAACCATACACATAAAATCATCTAAAGCAACCTCAGGTTAGTCCCTAGAGAAAATAAAATACCCTCACAATATACAATAATTTGCCCCTTTCATGCTTTGTTTGCTTATTTCTCGTTTTTAAAGATATATTTTTGGGCTAGGTGATACATGCACACCTTTAATCCCAGTACTTACAAGGCAGAGGCAGGCAGATCTCTGTGAATTCAAGGCCAGCCTGTTCTACATCGTGAGTTTCAGGACAGCCAGGGCTAGGGAGAGAGACACTGTCTTTAAGGGTGAAAAAGCAAAAAAGAAAAGATTTATTTTCCTTATTTTATGTCTATGTATGTATACTAAGGCCCACAGAGGCCACAAGAGGACACTGGGTCCCTGGAGCTGGAGTTAAGATGGCTGTGAGCAGCCTGATGTGAGTGCTGGGAACCAAACCAGGTCCCCTGCAACAGCAGCAAGTTTTTACTGCCATCTCTCCAGTCCTGAGCTTCTTTCTTTTTAGAGGCAAGGTCTTGCTAAGTAGCTCTGGCTGTCCTTGAACTTGCTATGTAAACCAGCTGGCCTTGATTTGTGGCAATCTTCCTGCCTCTGCTTCCCAAGTGCTGAGATTATAGGCATGTACCACTGTACCCAGCTCTGTCCCTTTGGTCTAGATCTACCACATGTAAATGACCCCTTTCTTAAAGTCATTCTTTTGGGCTGTGTGTGGTGGCATATGCCTATAATCCTACCTACCCACTTGAGAGGCTGAGCCATGAGATCACAAGTTCAGAAACAGCCTGCGCTACACATTGAGTTTAAGGTCAGTTTGGATTACCTGACAAAACCTGTCTCAAATGTTTTTATTTAATTTTTTTTAAATTTGGCATCTCTTCAGATTTCATACCTAGGGTCATAAAAAAATCCTCGATTAAAAGGAATTTACTTTGTTTTTGCTCCTGATGGAACATAGCATTGAGCATAGGGCAGAGCAGTCAAAGCAGTCAAGTCCAGCACATCCCTCTGACGTAAGCATGCTGCTGCCACAACAGGTGCTGGGCTCAGCTTGCTGCATTGAGGCAGTCTTTATTAATGAAGCTATAGCTTATTCCTGATCTCTAGCTCAAAAAAAGACTGGCTCATGTTGGGCTGTGGTGGCGCACGCCTTTAATCCCAGCACTCTGGAGGCAGAGGCAGGGGATCTCTGGGAACTCGAGGCCAGCCTGGTCTACAAGAGCTAGTTCCGGGACAGGCACCAAAGCTACAGAGAAACCCTGTCTCAAAA